GCTCTATTGATCGATATCAAAAGTATCTGGATTACTTAATATCTAGACAAGTGATAATCAAGAGTTTCACCTTGTGATCCATTAAAGTAAGGCAATGTGAACTGCATTCTTAGTCAGTGGGTAGTTAAACTACATGTCTAAGCTGCAGCAGCAGAAGGCATAGGCCTGGGAAGAGGAGGGACAGCAGGTGCATTTGCCCCTCCCACTTTTGGACTGGAGGGGCAGCGCCCCTCCAACTTTTGGGAAAATTCAACATTAGCCTTATGGCGTTGCATGGAAAGAAAGAAATATAGAACTTTTGAGTTTTAACTTTTGCCCCCTCAACTTTTTAACCTGCCCCCTCAACTTTTCAAACGTTCCCGGGCCACTGGCGGACCGCGGAAGGCACCTCAGGATGTAAGGGCAAAGTAAATATCTAATTCTCGCATAGAAAAGCATCCCCAAGAATTGAAACCCCCATAGAAGAAAATCAATGTTAACAATTTTATCTGCAATAATGCGGTAACTCATCTTCCATTCCATATGCTCTTCTTTAAATGTCGGGTGTCAGTGAAAAGTTCCAACGGTACCTGTTCCAACATTAGTAATAATGTAGGTATAGTATAGGTGTTTTTCGATGTGAAATATCATTGTTAGTTATTTGCAAACATCAAAAAGCTAATTAAATGCTGATTTTCCTGTTATTAGTTAATTTAGTCTACTTTCAATAACGGCACAAGTAGCTTTCGGTTGCCAATGTAGGTTGTAGGTGTATTTTTGGTAAGTTTAGGTTAGGTTTTGTTAGTTTAGGTTAGGTTAGGTAAGGTTAGGTTAGGTCTGGTTAGGTTTGGTTATATTTTGTCCGAGCTATGTGCCTATACCCATCAGTGTTCATAATTTGGTTTAGGTGTAAATTTTCTAGCTATTTTAGGTGGTTATTGAAGTTAACACCATTGGTTAACATTAATCAATAGATATAACTAATCTAGCCACAGCGGAAAGGTAAGGTACTATTGGAAATTTCGACCCAGGTGCCCCAGCCACAATTTTGTGTGGCACATTCCCCTGTTGTGCTTCACCTTCTGCCACCCCTGTACCTTGGAACCGAATACTTAAATGATTGCCTTTATATGCAAGTTCCATTCCAGCTATACACTGGCGGAACCAGGGGAGTTAACCTGTTTCCTGAATTAAATTGACTCTCACCAGTCATTTTGAGAATGTGGCAAGTTGCAACTCCCATGCTTCAATGTTGCAAAAATTATCATTTGGGACCCTACCAATAAATTTCAGAAAATGATGCCCATTTCAACTTTCACTGAACAGGAAAGAACGTAAAGAAATTTTAAATAAAAAATATTTTTAGGTGGACAAAAATGGGCAGTTTTTGCCCAATAAAGGTTATCCTATGACTGCAAGGCCACCTGAAATGCGTTAGACAGATCTTACTAGAGTTGTCCTTAGACATAGTTGTCGGGTTTGTCTTACTGGGCCACCTTATTCATGTGCAATTAAATAATTAGGGGGCTGTATCAAAGTATAATCTACAGCAACCTAGTAACCTCAGTAATAACCTATAGAATTCCTATATTTTAACCTATATTTTGCTAAGATACAGTTGGTGGTCATAATGCTGTCCCTCATTCACACAACATTCATTGCATCATCACGGTTATCACTAGCACCGAATAAAGATAAATCGATTGACAAAATTCAAGGCATACAACACAGAAGCATAATTACATCAAATTTATATCTGGCAACACCTTACTCACCATCAGAGACCCGCACGACGCGGACACAGCACAAGCCGCACAAGCCAAAGGACGCGCGCCGAAAAAAACATGGCGGACGTGACGCAGTTGCACCGCAGTTGTCAAATAACTTCAAGTGTGTTTTAGCACAAAGGTACATGTTGTACAAAAGGTCGTATGTTAGTGTCCCCTGCTATGTATAGTTTGTTCGAAAACACGTTTTGCGTAAGTGTGGCATATAGTGTATAAAACACGCATAGTGCTTGCTGACACACCACTAGTTGACACACCTTGGCTTAGTTTTGTAACTTATATGTTTGTTTACCACAAATAAATGTGCTTACATACAAACCGTTTACTAACCTCATTGCTATCTTCAGCTTTTGTGTGTCTTAATACTATCTTTTTGTTGAGCAATTAACACGGTAGTTTGTAAACTTTTTTTACAGTGTAGGGCGCAGGACGCTAGACTTCAGAGTATGGACGACGGACGTGTACTCCGTGCTTGGGTATGGGGGCAGGACGTGGGGCTGCGGGGTCGGGGAGGGCTCGGGGTGGCTTCCCGTCGCCGCCGGCATTCTTGGCAGACCGACGGTCGGAGGAGGGACGGCCACGACGCGTCCATTTGTCTTGCCGCGGACGGCGCGGCACCGGCGCTGACGGCGGAGCTAAGTCAGCGGCTGACCGCTGCTGACGGTCAGCACCGGGCCCGTCTTACCGGCGCTGACAGCCGCGCTGGCAGCCGCGCCATTGCCGTGATTGGATGTGTGTGGATGCCGGCCCCTGTTATTCGATGAGGGAATAGTAACGCTGATCGGGGAAGACTTAGACTACAATACCTACATGATGTTCGTTTCTGACTGAGTTTATTCAGTCTTTTTGAAGTCCCAACTTGCTCCCTAATCATAACGCACTTTATTCGTGACCCGTGGTAGGAGACATTTGGCTTTCAGTGCATTGTGGTCCCATGATTTAGTTTTCTCATGAACCAACAAGCCAAGATTTGGGAGGGGCAGGAGTATCGTGGACCGCCCGACCCGCGTCCTCCATCCTGAACCTCTATCCTGCCGCAGCCACCAAGAAGCTGCTCCCGCACGATGAAGGCAATTACGATGAATCCAATCAGCTACCGGCTGCTTGCCACTGGGTGGAGGCAGAAAAGGCTCCCTACCAGCAGCATCGTTAGCAGGGAACAGCGGCAGCAGACCAGTAGCAACAGGGTAGGGGCAGATTATTGCAGAGGCAACGGAGGCTTAATTAGAAGCCATATCATAGGGCGGGAAAGCACTTAGGCTGGCTATATGACACAAAGACGGTGCTTTATCCAGAGAGGCCTTTCCTTCCGGATAAATATTGGAATCGATAGGAAAGCTTGCGTTTATTATGAGCTCGCTTGTGAATCAGCCTATAATATACCTGCCATGAACTGTGTTCGCAATGGACATCCTGACCACTGATCAGTCCCACATAAAGGCTAGGGAAAGTCAACAACCAGTGGTGCTGTTCCCAGGTCCCACGATCACCCTCCCCTCTCTCCCCTCCCCACTCCCCTTCCCTTCCTGTGTCCCGTCATCTGCAGGGCACGTCCACAGTCTCAGATCATTAATCTGGGTCCAGTGCGCCTGTGTGCAGTGGCGAATCCAGGGGGGGGGGCAAAATGGGCATTTGCCCCCCCCCCCCCAACGGCATAATTTTAACATTACGCCTATGGACGATGCATGGAAAGAATCGATAAATTGTTATGGTTTGCCCCCCCCCCAAACTCTGAGCTGGATCCGCCTCTGCCTGTGTGTGCGTGCGTTTCTCTGCGTTTCAGCTGCGCCGCCACGGGAAGTGCGTTCTCCTCATGTCTCCGGATATCGTCTCCGGTCCCTGGTTTGGTCCCGTGTCGAGTATCCGTATTGACTGCCGTATTTTGGATCTGCATCGTCTCCGCGTTCCATATAAATATCGTCACGGTATGCTATGTATTTAACCCTCGCATGTGTAGGGGGGTCGGATGGACCCCCCCCCCATGGTTTTTCGCGAATAACTCGCGTAAAAACCGGCCGATCGCGACGAAACTTTCAGTACCCTCGCATTGATCAATTTTACACCTACCCTGAAAATTTCATGACCCTGACCCAAATGACCTTTGACCTGTGACCTCTTTTCCGAGACCATGTTTGGCCGGAATCGCGATTCGGCGTACGTCGGCTCGCATTAGCCGCGCGTTTGCAAGCTTTTCGTGGTTTCAAACGTTCAAACATGTGATGTGATGTTGCTCCCATGCATTAGGGTGGGTGTCAATGTCACCTGAAGGTCAGGTCAGGTCATTGACCTTATGTGACCTCGGGTGACCTCGGTTCACTTTTTCGAGTTTTACATGTTTCTAGGCTAGTTTTTGGAGCTGAATTCGAATTTAGCAACCATTTGAACATTTACGAAGTAGTTTTGGTGCCTTCGTAACATGTTACGAAGCTGTCAGAGGCGGTTGACACGTACTACGAATACCCGTCACGACGCCTACTGGTTGACCTGACCTGACCTGACCCGACCTGGTCTAAATGCTTAAAGATATCATCTGTGATCTAAACTAACACGATATTCGTGATCAGCACCCCGAAAAACCCCTTAGCAGCCACACTTTACGACTTTCTAATAGGTCCCGATTTTCCCGACTTTGGGTCATTGACCTGACCTGGAAGGTCAACCAATGACCTAGAACCTTAAAATTGGGTATCATCGGCTTCCTCTCGTCACGGGCAACACGCTCGTTTTTTCCGCGAAGCTCTAGCTCGATCAGGGGCCAAACGGCAAGGGGGGGGTCCAACCGACCCCTCTCCCCTACACATTAGAAGCTGGAAAACGCCGCACACATGCGAGGGTTGCCTACGGTTGATTTTCAGAATGATGCACAGAAGTAATGTCATGCTTTTATTTTCTATATCGGTATCGTTTATATCGTGCCTCTCGTATGTTGCGATGTCTCTGTAAGCTACAAAATACAATGCAACGCAATACGAATAAAGTTTGCATACGTTTGAAGTGTCCCTAGAAAGAACATTTATCAATAGAAATTCGGTGTACCTATACGCTACTGTGTTTGTCGTACCTGTATTGTGATTGCTGATAACGATCAACGAATTAACGTCAAAACGATCACGATGAAAAAGATGTTCACATGATGCTGCTTCAGCTGCAGGTTCGATGGTCTTTTTTCTATGACCGTCGAGAGCCCGTGTCTTTGTCGTTTCACCACTCGCCCGTCCCCAATAACACGCCATATTTACGGCATTTTATAGATACATTTCGTCTACTGCAGTTCATAACCCGTTTTGCTCAACAATTCAATCTCAGACAGTACGTTAGCACAATTTGACAAGTACGCACGCGCAAAGAGGGTCCAAATAACCATCTGGGAAAACGAATCATAGCATTTGAGTATGGGGCTCACGCCCCCGTCGCAAGCGGTCACGACTAGGTTGCCTGTTAAATAATACTGCTAACACGTCATATGCATCAACTCCTAGCGCAAACTCAGGCAAATCATCTCCTAAAGCCGCCCACCACGGCCTGGATCGAGAAACCTCGCACGAACACTCACAACACTCACGTTTGGTTTGAGCTATTTACATCTGTACAGCCGAACTTGGTGGTAGCAGTTCGCACACGGCAGCGACGTCGGGCAGAGAGGGGGACGGTGCGTTCGCGCCCGGGTCAAATTTCGACACCGACGCGACGACACCGACGCGACGACAGGGTCAGTCGATCTCGACGGTGCTTGTGAACGCTCGGCGGCTTTGAAATGAGAGGTGCCGAACTTCTGAGGGGTGATAGCTGGTCAAATGCAGGGGGAAGGGTCGCGTGGCAGGGACGGGCGTCCCCACGGTCGCAGGAGCACGTCCTGGCTGGCGCGTGCCCAAGAAAGGCGCCGCCTGTCACCGGAGCCTTGACCCGGGGGATAGAAGAGGATCCGGAAGGGAATGAACAGGGCAGGGGACCGACTGAAGGGGCCAGGACAACAGGACCGACACCGTTCCCCTCCGCCGACGTCGTGCAATCCCTGAGATTGAGTATGGCTTCTCGAGTATTCGCGTTGGCCTGACGGCGAGCGGCGCATCCGCATCATGAGCTGGGGCGTCCTCATCATGAGCTGGGGCGTCCTCACTGAAGCGTCCTCGGCGCTCATCGCCCCGCCCGTCTGCATAGGCTACAACGCTATGTCAGAGCTGCGCTCGGCGACACCGGCAGCGTCCACAGGTCACCGAGGTCACCGGGGTCACGCAGGTCATCACCGACCCCCGGAGAAGAGCGCTGACCTGGCTAACACAGAATAACGTCGGCCGTTCGCAGCGTCCGATCGCAGAACGCGCCGACAACGTAAAGCATCTAAATAAATTAAATACAAACTATAACAATATAACCTTTGGTTCGTACGAAATCCCACCTTATTGCTACACATGAAGAGCCGTGGGACGGGCGCGTCGCATCGGGCGCGGCGCAGCGAATCCCTGAAATGGCGCACGGGCGCGCCACGATCGTCGCGAGAGACGTTCGCGACGCGACGACGCCTATTGCGGTGTGTATTGCCACGCGTGCGGCGCCGCTGCCGCTAGGAACCGGACTGCGCGTCGCCGACAACCACACACGCACACACGGGCACAACTAAGTACGCGGGCCCCGATTACAGGTTTGTGAGACCGTACTCGGGTTTGACAGCACCTGGATGCGGCATATGCGCGCCGGCCATCGGGTGCTGGAGGGGGTGTAGACCCGGCGCCGGCGGCGGCGGCCGCGGCGCCGCCGCCTGCTGCGCCTGCTGCTGCTGCTGCTGCTGCTGCTGCTGCTGCTGCTGCTGCTGCTGCGGCGGGTGCTGCTGCTGCGTCTGCGCCTGCGTCTGCTGCGGCTGCGGTACCGTGCCACTAGCCGTGGTGGTCGCAGTCTTTGGAGGGATTGTCGTCGTGACGCCGGCGGGGTTGGTCTTGCGTCGGACGTTCTTCGTGTTGGGCAGCTTGTTGTCCTTCTTCCACTTCATGCGCCGGTTCTGGAACCAGATCTTGATCTGCCGCTCGGTGAGACAGAGACTGTGCGCGATTTCTATCCGCCGCCGTCGCGTCAGATAGCGGTTGAAGTGGAACTCCTTCTCGAGCTCGAGGATTTGGTGCCGTGTGTAGGCGGTCCGCTGCCGTTTTGGCTCCATTCCAGGTTGGAAGGCGCCATTGTCTGAGAAAGAAGAAAACAATTGGGTTAGCTAGCTGCACTCCAATCTATTCATTAGCGTTAGTGGTCTTATAATGAATTTATTATCTGTTGCACCTTTACAATTAGTTCATTAAAATCCCATTTTACCCCAGATACTTCGGTACAGATAACCGACGAGCAATAAAGCTGATGTTGACAGACCAGCGCCACGTCAGTTGTTGTTTTGAAAAAAGAAGCAGCAATTGGCATTAACTCTTTGTCTTTTCAACACTCTTGTTGGCAACAGACTTCGCAAAATTTATTTGTACGTATGATGTAATAATTGTGGATCCAGGGACTTCGTTTCCGTCAAGGTCAAGGCTTCTGAACGGCAATCTGTTAGAATACCCCGCTCAGCTAAAAGCTTCGACACCCAGCAACTTGCAATTAATTCAAGCATCTATTCTTTTCGAAACTCAGTATAGTTACATGACATGAAAAACAATTTCTTTGGAGGTTCGGTGAAATAGTTTCCCCCCAGTAACGTACCGAATAAAACCGTCAACAATCATCAGCGCTACGTTTTTTTTTTCAGTGAATAAGTGAGTGCAGTATTTGGAACTGGAAATGGGCTGTGCACTTGTGCTATGCTATGCATGTGATACATGATGTATCATCATACATCAACTGAAATGTGGAGGTTTCCATTTTGACACCCCACATGATATTCCAGCTCTTTGAACGTAATCCATCTAGCCCTTATCAAAAAAGAAAGACTAGTACCTACTGCACGTGCGCCCGTGCAAAGTAAGATCCCAGACTATACCAAAGTTGTTATTTGTGCTGCTGCTGCTGCTGCTATAACCCATCTAACGGGGCTCCAGCAGCCCATCAGCTTATAACTCCCATCGGTCCAGCCGTTCTCGAGACGTGCAGATTCTAGCCGCCCCATCTGTGATGTATGACAATACATCGATGACACATGGTTATAGCATATAGGTATACGGTAGTGAGCTAGGTCGCTTCTTGTCAATTATCTTACTGATCATCTATACTAGTAGTTAAAACATATAGTGGTAAAAGTATTAGTAAACTCTAATAAGGAAAAATTCATGTATTGTTCACACTTTTCAGTACGCTATCAAAATCATTTCCCACATTTACTATGAGGCATAACTCTGTTATCGTCATTTTTGGAAGTCGATTCACATCGCAATGCACTCAACTACAATGCCCAATGCACATTGTGCAATGTTGCTGCTCAAATCTAAGATTGAATCGAAATATTGACCCTCAACCGCGTGAGTCATTCAAAGGCAGGACAAGAAAAAAAAAACGACCAGCAGTTGGTGTCAATGCATTCCAACGAATTTGTTTCATTAAGCTGCCATAGACCACATTCTCAAATTAACACTTTTTACGCTAAGTCAAGCAACGTTGTTAAGTAGTAAGTTTCGTTATCGTGAGGAATCTAGCTGGATCTATTCAATTGGTATAAAGTACTAAATAATTGCTCTTTTGTCTAACGATAATCGAACATGCATGTATGCATCTGCCTTTGGCACAAAAAAGCCGCAGGCCCCGCACTTTTCGACGCCTATTTAGCAGCGTCAAAGGCTGGAATCACGCCTGACCCTACTCCCTTCACTCATGCATCACTGAATTCGCGCGTGACTCCACCCCGTAGAACCGATGTGTCACAATGGGGACCCCCTTGCCTCCCCCTCCCCACGGCCGGTCCAGCTCAATGGTAGCCGGGTGCTAATAAGATGGAACGGGCCATTTAATTACGTCCGCCCTTATCCACACTAACGATAATTGAAGCCGGTTTCAGGACGATGTGACGATTGTCGGTATGCTTGTCGTAAGCAGATGTTTTAGATATACCCACTTTTTGTCGCTGCTTATAAAAAGCTTATCAGATGGTGAGCTTGTACCTGACTGAGGTATTTGCTATAGCGTCCGTACCCTTTTAGCCGTTGTACAAATCTATTCGTAAAGAGGGGTAGGCACGCTATTAATATCATGCCGTTCAAAAAGCAATTTTTCATGCCGTCTCATTCAAACGTATCCACGAAATAGCAGTCTTATAGGTACTAGTGTTGAACGCAAACATGCGGCTTGTATTCTACTGCACACTGCGTCGAAATTTGACGGGTTATATCTGTCATTCATGGGCCAGTTGAGGTCAGAGACCTCGGCAGGCCTTCCGGATAGGTCAAATATAAGCCGTTCTCACAACGGCTATCTGGCACACATTTGCTTTACATTTGGAGTTGATTTGGTGCATATTTGGTCAAAGTAGGTTCATCGTGTTTCTTTGAAGTTAACAGTTTGGGCTGGACAGTTGTTTATATGTACACCTACTTCTTGCGATTAAAACACTGAAATAAATTAATGACATAAAATATTTGTTGTAAAAGAGCTTTGGTGCAGATTTGGGCAAGTTTGGTGCATTCACCAGATAACCAGTCGTGAAAACGGCTGTTAGAAAACCAGGACGTTCACTTGTAGGGGAGAGTGGGGTAATTTGGCCCGTGGTGTAAATTGGCCGCCCCCACCTGTACGATGTACTCGTATAATAAAAGTGAGTGAAATAACTCTAGTCTCTATTCATTTGTCATGGGTAGAAATAACTGGAGGACAAATGTCAAAACTTTGCCCCTCGTAGTTTTATTCAAAATTAATAAAACGCTAATGTCATTAGAAAATGGTAACTTTTACTTCTGTGTACAAAGTTGTATAACATGTAGTACTTGGGCTAAAAACGAATTCAGACATTATAGCGCCATTCTTGGGGGTGTTCAGCGGTTCCAAGAGCAATTTCATCTAATTCCGTATAGCCGTGATGACTTTATAAACAAAAATTTTCAGAATGGTAATATGGGGTAATTTGGCCGGGACTAGCGGGGCAACTTGGCCGGTGCGCTCATGGTCACTATGCTCGGACGGCCGAGTTTTCATGGTCAATTGTACCATAAATGAAATAATTAATGACCAAATTTGACTACTATGATGCTTTACTTCCGATTAGTCAACTGTAAGAGCATGTGACGTCATCAAAGGTTACCAAACGTTTTTTGCTAATAAATCCTTACATAAAAATGGTACAGCCGCACAAATGGTCTCATTCTGTTCAGCTCGCCAAGGCGCATCGAATGATATGCATGATGACCTTGAATCACGTGAACTTGAGGTCAAGCGACCTGAGGTAACATGACCTGAGGTCAACCTTTGAACTTGACTTCTCGAGGTCAAAACATATATGTTTCGATGCGGAATGACGAGAGAATTACGATGGTACTCGGAGTTTTGGCCTAGCTTGATTACTTCAAAAGTTATTCGTAAAAAACTGTCTTCGCATCTAGAGCCGCTAATTTGGCTATTTTGACCCCTGTGACCCCATGAGTCAACTTCCAAAATGTGGTAAATGCGTCATAGGACACACGTCATTGCTGAATCTGAAACTGACTCGCAATATAACAGAAAATCCCGACCGCAAACTAACACCGGCCAAATTGCCCCACACCCCCGGCTAAATAACCCTGCTAGTGGGGCAATTTGGCCGCCTTGCAGACCTTTGTAATACGTCACAATTTCAATATAAGTAATTACTCTATCATTTCAAGTTCACTGTCCAGTAAAGTAAAATGAATGCGACACCTGCCAGCGTAGAGAAAATGCAGAAATGTGTTGTCAATTTTAAGTTACATCGTTTTCTAAAAAAAGCGGCCAAATTCCCCCACTCTCCCCTATGTATGCGGACTCTAAGGGGAAAACTGGCAAGATATTCGTAGTAATGTTCTCTTCAAAATCCAAACTGTATGTAAATCAGCTGCATTCAATATGGAACATTCGTGTGCGATAATCAAATCGGTTGGCATTAAAAGGCATTGGGAAATATGTGTATGTTGTGAGTTGATGTTAAAGTAACCATCCCACCTTAACATTAGTTTTGAGTTGAGATAGCCAAATTGGTGGCCATGGCCTGCAAATACCGGTTTGGGCACTCACAACATCGAAAAATGCTTTAATTCGGAGATATGGAATTTCAAACTTGCAGTTTTCGGATTCTAAGGGGCTAATGCATTGAGATGCCCCCTTAGAATTTGTGACGTCAGCGGTGATCTAACGATTTTAAAACCTTATACTAACATCTTTGTAAAGCAGTGGTGGTATATGCTATTTGCGCGCAACATCTGCCGCGAACGCCGCACTTCCAAAATGAAGTCGCTAGGAACAGGAGTCGCTAGGAAAATGAAGTCGCTAGGATCCCAAAAAAGTAAACAAAAGTAAAAGTCTAATATCTTGAAAACCGGTGAATATTTTTCGGTGAAATTTGATAGATATTCGTTTTTGCTCTTTCTGAATCGAGCGACATCACTTTCATGCCAATTTATTAACTTTTTTGATGGTGGGAGGGTCCCTTTAATCAAACAAATTGAAAATGGTCAATTCAATCGCTTAACAAAAAGTGACATCCCGCTTGTCATGCTTTGTCACTATATCTCGTGGTTAGAGCAGTGCTGTTCTCCCAGGTTGTTATGTTAGAAAATGCATGAGAGATAAAAGTTAAATACCCCTTTATTCCAAGTAAACATTATCCTGTTTTACAGATGTGTAAGTAACGAAATGGCAAGTGCCAATTACGAGTCCTGTATTGGTAAGTGCATATTTCGCACATGGACCGATTCATTCCCAAATCGTGAGAGATATGCACAACACAATTAAAGTTCGCTGATTACAGTTAAGCCTTAGAATCTCATATACATCTCCTGCATTGCTCAAAACGCTCCCCGCATATATTGCACGGCGGCCTTTCTCAGAATGCGCCCGCCTCCCGCACTTCCGGCACGCGGCGGTAAAACATTTGCTTCAGATCTCAAACACCGCTCAGCGCTTGTTTACGAGAGCGAGTGTGAGCCTCGCGCAAACGGTAGCAGCGCTCACGTCTCCAAAGGCCCGCGCCGCCCTGCTCCACCGCGCTCGGCTGCGCGCTGGTGCGGTCTGTCCCACCCTGTGCAGGCTGCAGGACAGACGGG